ACAAATGGAGGAGTGAGAGAAATCAACTATTTGATGAATTTCCTGCTGTGCCTCTTTGCAGCCATAGAGTTTATGTGTTCCCTTCCCAAAAGCCAGACCTTTCAGTGTCAGCAGTGACATGGGTGATTTGCAGTCAGCCATATCAGTGCAAAAGAAATCTTTCTCTGTTGCAGTAGTTAATTTTTAATATAGCAAATGGTGTGATATCACTCCACTTTCACTTTGCACAGAGGAGATTGTTCAGGCGAGATTGTGAAACAGCTTGGCTTGGGCTGAGATAGAATTGCTCACACACTCTGGGAGAAGAGGTTTTCTAGGGGCTGAAAAACCCCAAATGCTCATCTGTTCTCCAGTGCAGACATTACATGTACAATGAGAAATCTGCAACTCGTGTGTCTGTGATTTTATTTTTAATCCTATTGAATACTTTTTTGTTGGTTTCTAATTATCCCTGGAAGCCCTTTCCTCAGCTGGTGTGCATAGGGGGATGAACTTATGTGGTGAGCAGCAGCAGCAAGTGAATGAGGTGGAGAAGTTTTGTCTCAGAGTGCTTGTTCTCAGGGACAGGTCTCTGTCCCTTGCTGAGGAGATGTGACAGCGTTTTACAAGCTGGGGTCCTGTGTCCTGCTTGCTCCTTTGTGAGACTCTCCTGGGATCTGTGCTCTGAGTCCTGGCTGCCTTATCCATCCACCTCTACATCTCTGCTGGCCTGGCTCCAGAGCACCCGAGCACTGAACGTCCTGTACCAGGTCTTTTCTCCAATGCTTCCTCAGGCACTTCTTGGTTGCTACAGCCAGCCTCCTGCCTTCAGAAATCAGCATGGAAATGTTTAAACATGTAACAAAACAGGGAGAAGAACTGCTATGTGAAAATAATTGATGGGTTTGTGGTAAAAATTAGGAGAATGAGAAGATCCCTGACACATTTGTCCATTACAATCTGCTAGGTGTGGTAGAGGGAAGCTCTGTCTTTTTCCCAGAGCTGTGTGTGATGCTGAACACACATGGGAATTGCTCAGGCCAACAGCAATCTACTGAAGAATTTGTTTCTGTAGAACCTCTGAATTTTTTATAGGCTCATTTTTTTTCCAGTCTAACCTGAGATCGGAAGTCATAGTTACAGTAGTCAAAAGATAACTTCTAATCAGCATCAAAAGAGAAGGCAATTGCTTGTTACGCCAGGGTTTTGTTGCCATCAAATTAATTTTGTAATTTTGTTGCTAGCTTTAGTCTTGGTTGCAGAACATCTTAGAACATCTTTTGCAGAGAGACGCCGGGATGCCGAGCCACGATGATGATGTGATGGCACTGCTCTGCCACATTGCCAAGGCCAAGCACATAAAAGCTTCTTACACTCATTCTAAACGAGGAGGAATACTGGCAGGTGGAGGTGCTGTTTTGGGGGGGATGCTGGGCGGCCCACCTGGAATTTTTGTAGGTAAGTGTGCTTTGTTTTGGAACAAGAGGGTGGATAAATCCCTGAGTGAAGAAATGCAGAGGTGTGGGTTGAAGAAAGGAGCATTCAGTGTTGAGATTTTCTGGTGCGATGGGGGCTGAGGGTGGGTAAGCCTTAGCATGGGGCAGGATCATTTCTCACTACAAATGATGCTTATTTCTGTCTTTTAAAAGTCCCTGATATCCATGTCCTGATGAACTTGGGTTTCTTTCCCGCTGGGATTTGTTATTCCCTGTCACTTTGCTTTTCTACTTGTTGCAGAAAGTTACAGAAAAGCCTAAGTCTAATAGTAAAGAACTGTTTGTCCTCTGTAACTCTGGAATGAAGAGTTGTCTAGTTTGAAAGCTGCCTTGCTGCTGAAGGCATGTGGGCCCTGGCCCATGAATGTTGAGCAGTTGGATGTCCTGTGAGCAGTTGCAGGAATTTCAAGGGCTTACTGATTTGGGAGCGAATTGCAGTGTGCCTCTGTCAGGTTGAGTTACAAAAACAAGCAAATAATTTGTGAGGAGGGATAACAGAAAATGCAAAGTGAAACTGTGTATTTACTCCTGTTACAAATAGAGAACTTAAGGAATAGCCAGAATGTTGACAAATAGATGACTGAAGTTATCAGGAACAAAGAAAGGAAATTAAGCTTTTGTAAGAAATTTGTAAGCTGAAAATCTGAAGTGAAGGTAATAATGTAAGTGGCCTCATTCTTGAGTGAGATGAAGAGAAATACTGAAGTTATTAATGGAGGTATTTTCCCTTTTAAGTGCTTGTTTAAGCTTTCATAGTGTCTCCCATTCAAGCTTGATGTTCTTCAGCCATGGTGGAAGGCACTGGAACAAGTATACCTCTTACTTCATAGTGAAAGTTACAGTCATAAGCATATATAATAAGAGTAATAAGTCCTGTCTAAACTAAAAGCCATGACTCAATTACAGTGCAGCTAAATCATAACCCTCTCATGTAACTTTTAAAATTGGAGAGGTAAATAAGCCAAGTAAGTCTAGGACAGTTAGAGAGACATTTACCATCAAGGGCCCCTTCACTTGCTCAAACAGCCTGGATAGGTGTGGGACTGGTGGCAGGGGCTGTCCCTCTTGCTGCTTTGCACCAGGGATGAGGGTGAGTTACCTGCCACGTGCAGCATTGCTGCAGCAGCTTGCAGTCGTCATGCTTCCCAAGGACTGCCTGCTCTGAGCAGAGTGGGCTGTGGGTTTATTGCCTGGGGGAGAAAGTGTGATCGTGTAGCAAGTCTTGTCTCAATGGACAGGGAGCTTAGACATCAGTACTTCCAGTGGCTTTTGCATTAAGTGCCCCTAAATCAGTTATTGATGTTCACATAAAAGTCCCTTGAAGATGAATTCGGCCATCGTAGGCTTTCAAGTATTTCTGTGGCATTGTGGGGAAAATTGCTAACTGAGTAAAAGCTGCAAGTTAAGAGTTTTGGCTAATGAAAAACTGCATCCCTGTGAGTGCACAGATGACTTTTTAGGAGCAGTGGCTGGGGTGGCAGTTTTGGTGGCAGGGTCAGTTCTGCCACCTCTCCATTGTGAGGGCTCTCTCTCTCTCTCTCTCTCTCCTCTTCCTTCGTTCCTTGCTCCGTCCCAGGCCCTGTGTGCTCCGGGCAGTGCTGGCAGCCCTGTGGATTGCTGTGCTGCACTCACACTGCTGCTGGAGGGGAGCCCTGGAGGCTGCTGGGCTGCTTTCTCAGCAGCCACAGGCACATCAGCTGTAGATGATCCATCCCTCTGCTCTTGTCCTGACAGCCTGGGACCTTCCACTTACCCGAGTGTGTCTTGTCCACTGGGGAGGCCGGGGTGTGCACGCGGTAGCTGAAAGCCTGAATGTGTCTGATGGGATTGGTCTGTGCCCACCTGCAGGGGTGGGCTTCAGGTGTGTTGGACAGTGCAATGAGTGACTCTTAAAGGAGCAGAAAGCTTTCACCAGTCTGGGAGTGTCTGGCAAGAGATGATGACACTGCTCAGGCAGTTGTTGCTCTGGTTTTCTCCTTGGGCAAGGTTTAATTTAGCGGTAGAGCTTTCCCCAAGAGAGTGTCCCCGGGAGTGTTTTCTTTCTGGTTTCTAGCTTGAAGCCATTAGTGTTGATTGTATAAAGGGTTTCTTTATGGTTGCTGTTGATGTAAAGAGTTTTTAAAATCCTTTCTGATGATTTGATTATTGTGTATAAATCTAGATATAGCAGGCACAGATGACAAGTCTCTGTTGCTTTCTAATCAAGGGGAGAACGTTGTTGGTGAAGGCTGTGGATGGAATTCCAGGCTTTAGCATTTATTGGTAAAAACTAATGATTCTTCGTGTTTCCTAGGAGGAGCAGTTGGTGGATTGATTGGATGGCTCACCTCTGAAGATTTCAAGCCAGTCCTTCAGGTTTTAATGGAATTGTCTGCTGCTGAGAAGCAAGAACTTTGTAATGCAACCATGCCGTTTGTCAAGAACTTATGTTGGACTGGTGCTCGTCACCTGATTGATCTTGTTGTATCAAAACCAGCTCTCATGGAGCAGATTTCAGATATGCTTATCAGTTACCTTGCCAATGAGCTAAAAGCAGAACTGAAGTATAGCTGATAACCCTCCACAGAAGAGGATTTTTATGATTGAATACATTTTACTCCCGCTGCTATGTATCTTCAGTGCAACAATTACTAGTTATTGGTACTACTTATAAATATATGCTTATTGATGTAAACTTGGGCCGTTCAGTTTAGGTGATCGGGGTTTTTAAAATTTTTTATCATTATTGTTATTTTTGATTTGTATGGCTTTGTAAGGATAGTATTGGATTACTGCGTTAACCTGATACTGACTTGCTATGAAATATTGGATTGCTCTGCATTAGGACTAATTCTAATTGCTGAAGGGAATAATGCTGCTCTTAGGCTACTGTGTCATTGTGAAAATTTTCAAAGTCCTTTTGTTTTATTTAGGAGACTTGATTTTGTTTGTTCAAGTGCTTTAATTTTTTTCCCTGTGAATGACATGTAAGGGGCCAAAGTAGCAGGCCAATTTGGAGACTTTTACCTGTTGTTTGTTTTAGCCATGCAAAGGAAGGTTTTATAAGGAAGTACATTACTGTGAACTCAAAAGACCCAATCTCTACACTGTCCCTTTTTTATTGTACTTCTTGAGTTGTCTTTTCATGTAAGATGTGAAGCAAATCCTTCAAGATTTCAAGTAGCAGGAAAATAAACTGTGAACACTTCCAGTTCAATTTTCACCAGGTTCCTGTGCCACAGAATGGGAGGGTGTGACAATAAAAAAATGGGGAGCTGAATCTGCATGGGGAGCTGAATCTGCCAGTGTTCTATCAGCCCCAGGATTAAGGTTGTCGTTTGATCTTTGAATTCCGGATTGGGTCTGTACAGCTGGTCCTCTGTTTTCATTAAAATGTCCATAAGAAGCCTCATAGTGATCTGTGTGTTCCTTTAAACGGCAGAAACACTTGAGGAACTCGGGCAGGCAGCAGTGGGCAGCAGCAGTGCTGGTGGGTGGGTGATGTGCCTGCTGCATTATTGCTGTCAGCACCAAATGTTGTGGTGCTCAATGTCCCAGCCAGTTGGTCACGTTGGATTTCAGGGCACTCATAAGACAAGTTTGTAGGCAGCAAAATGTGCAGGTGTGCCTTTTTTTTGTGTAAAGGCTCAAGTGGAGCCATTCAGTGGTGCGGCAGTGGTGCCGGCGGGTGAGCGTGGAGAACTTGGTCTGCGTGCAGCGCATGCAGATGTCCGTGGCCTTGTCTGGGATCCAGGGGGCCGCGGGCTCCCTGCAGGGCTGCCGGCCCGTCTTGGTCAGCAGGTGCTTGATGCACTCCTCCAGGTGGCTGATCCACTCCTTCCTCTCCGTCAGGGAGGCTGCGGAAACCACAAAGGACTTCTTGGAGGTTTTGATCAGCCAGCGGTTCTTCATCTGCAAGGTGTCTGGCAGCGTCTCCAGAGTGACATCTTCAAGGGGGATGATGTGCTGGGAGTTGTACTTCCTCTTGTTGATGATGATGCTGCCGTAGACGAGGATGTCGTTGAAAAGGAAAAATATGCGAGGCTTTGGTTTCTTGCGGCATTCTTTGGTTAAAATCCCTTCTCCCAGGAGGACCCTGCCCGGCAAGGCTAAGGGCTGCCCAGAAGCCCCAAAGCAGTTTTCCACAGCAGCAATGCGCTGGCTGTTGATCTCCGTGTTTGCAAGGTGGTCCACCATCTCCATCTGGAGAGAGGAAAACAAAGAGGGAAGTGGTGAAACTACACCAGGGAGAAGGTGAGTAGCCAGTGCATGCACAGGTGAGATGCTGCTAATGCAATCTGAGGCTACAGGTAATCTCACTCCTTGCTTTACTTTGTTACCTGTCTAAATAAAATCTTCAAACTATCTGACCTCATTTTGCAACAGCCCAGGCTGCACTGGGATGGTGCAATTTGCAGCAGTGGAATTCCCTGAAGGCAGAGCCAGGTCCTTCTGGTGTTGCTTTTTTCCCCTGTGTGTCCTTAGAAAAGAAAGCTGCTTGGTCTGAACCTGATTTTATGCAGATCCATAGATCTCCATCAAAGGGTCTTGAGAGCAAGCCTTCCATTTCTGACTGCACACCTGCTTTCTCAAGGATTGCTTACAGACACACACAACCCCACAGCTCCATTTTGGGCCAGAGCTGAGGCAGGAACAAAAGAAAAATCTGTGGTATCACTTGTTCCTGCTGGTCTTCCAAGCATGACAAAAAGGGGTAAAAACAACAAATGAAAAAAGCCTTCATGATGTGAATAAACTCACACAAGTGAAGCCTTTCCTCTGTTCTCCCTGGGCTGAGAGTGCTCCAAGTGCAGGGCACATCACTCTGCAGACAGTGAGCTCTGCTGGAGGGGAAGTGGAATGCAGCACACTCATCTCTCCCACACCTCTTCTCCCAGAGCTTCCTTCTCTAGGGTGAAAAGGCACAAGGCCAAGACCAGCTCCAGCCATGGCAGACCTAAATGGAGTGACCCAGGCTGCAGAAAAAGCTTTCACAGAGAGGCACAGAGTGCTGGGTGCTCCTGAAGAGCTGCCTCCCTCGGGGTCCCCTAGAGCTGGAGGGAAGGATGTGAATCCTCAGGGCCCCAGAGCCTGGAGGGCACAGGGTGGAGCTGGGCAGTGTTGGGCACAGCCACTCACCTGGGTGTGCACTTGACATTTACTGAGTGCTCTGGCCAGGCTGCAGCCAGAGGGGGAGTCCAGGGGCTGCCTCCAGCAGCAGGGGCTGAAACCACTCCCAACCCACCTGCCCTGGCACAGCCATGCAGCAGCTGGGCCAAGGATCTGTTACTTGTCACCAGAGAGGGGAGAGCCTCCATTCCCTGCGTGGATCCACCAGCCCAGTGGATCTGTGCATGGAGAGGAGATGTGCTGCTGCAATAACCACCACATGTTCTTACCCCCTCCCTCTTGAATACACCAGTTAGGCTGAAGAACAAACAGGCAGGGCACACTGTTGTCCACAACTGTGCACCAAACTCCCTGACCAGGGTTTCCTGGACTCTCACCTATCCTGGGATGTGGTCTCTCCACAAATCCCTGGCCGAGGATTTCCTGTGTGCAAGAGCAAGATGAGCACACAAATAATAAAGGAAAAACTCAAATTACAGCTTGGGATCCTTGGTGTGCAAGGACTGTGAATGCAATAATATACTGTCAGGAGCATTTGGCACCAGCAACACTAAATGGGCTAAACCAAAGCAGTCCCACCGGTTTCCTTTCCTCATGCTTCTGGATTATGGAGCTCTTAGCCTGCCTCTTTCATTTTATGTGGTTTAGAAGCATGGCCCAGCCCCTCAAGAACTCATGGTACCTGACAAGACTCTATTTCTAGGGACCTCTGCACACCAGATTCCCGCGGAGCACTGAATATCCCAGTACTAGGTCTTTCCTCCAACGCTTCCTCAGGCATTTCTTAGTTGCTACAGCCAGCCTCCTGCCTTCAGAAATCAGCTTGGAAGAGTTTAAACATGTAAGAAAACACTGCTATGTGAAAATAATTGACTGATTTGTGGTAAAAATTCAGAGAATGAGAAGATCCCTGACACATTTGTCCATTCCAATCTGCTAGGTGTGGTACAGGGAAGCTCTATTTCCCAGAGCTGTGTGTGATGCTGAACACACATGGGAATTGCTCAGGCCAACAGCAATCCACTGAAGAATTTGTTTCTGTAGAATCTCTGAATTTGTTATAGATGTGAAAAATGCATACTTCACGTTTGGCTTTTCACAAATATTGCAATGAATATTATATGTGTATTGTTAGAAAATTACGTGGTATTAATTCTCTAAGGTTTTGTTTTAAATATATTTTTAGGTTATAACACAATGTTAAAATAGAAACTATGCTATGTAAGATACTTTTTAACTAGCTCAAGAAAGAGGTGAGATAAAAAATTCTTTGCACGAGGTAACAGTGAAATTAACCTAGAAAAAGTTACAACCTCCTTATCAGAAAAGACAAACATTCCTCCACTTTGTCTCTGTCTTCATGGAACCACCAGCATTAAGGGGAAGAAGCTGACAAAAACCAGAAATGTTCTCAATTTGCAAAAAAATTATGCATCATGTATGAGATATATGAATTGCAACAGGCTATTGCTTTTAAGGGTTATTCCTTTGTTCACAAAACATGTTTTTGGCAGTTTAGTGTCCATAAACATCCAGATGTCCGTAAATGTTTGCTTTTAATTGTCTTATAATTTTCCTAACTCTGAATTTTTATTACTCTAATTGTATTATTATTTTTATAACCATTAAACTTTTAAAATTTAAAAAAAAAAGTGATTGGTATTTTTCACATACATTTCCAGTAACAGTCAGCAATTCCTGGAAGGGGTGGGTATCCAAGAAATAAAAAGTGAAAGCATTTACTTTTTCCTGTGTTCGTCTGCTAACAAAAGGTTTTTTCTTTTCCCCTTGTATATATTTAATAGCTAGGTTTAGTCTTGGTTGCAGTGGTCAAAAGATAGCTTAAAACATCTTTTGCAGGATTTGGAGACGCCAGGATGCCGATTCATGTTTCATTAGTTGTTTTTTATGTTTTTGCAATGAGTCAAGGAAAACAACTTTAATTTTCAGGCTTAGTTCAGAATTTGAAGATATCATCACCGAGTGCTGTGCTCAGTATCTCTACAGCAGCAGACCAGGCTCAAAAGGTAGGATTTTCAGGAAGTGATGGTTTAGGAGGCAGATGCTGCTCGTGCTTACAGGATGTGTATGGACCAGTGATGAGATGACCCTCCTTTGCAGATGGACTCAATATCTTGAGTCCCTGTCTGTCCATCAGCTGTTACTGAAATAATGGATGGACTTCTGGCCTGTTCAATCAATCAGGTGACGTCTTCTTGCACACTGCTGTTTGTGAGGTTGTGTTCTTTAGTCTGTCTCAGTGTGGGAGCACCTTGTGTTTGGATTTTCTCCAGTGTTGTTCCCATATTTCTCCTGCAAGGTTGCAGTTCATAGGGAGCTGTTGCTGTACGGTTGAGACAGAAGAAATTGTCACCTCACATTCCTGTTCGTCACCATATGATGGCCACCATGATAAGGACAGCCGCAGGTAGGACATGTCTCTGTATCTTCCCAGGTGGGTTTGGAATGTGGTGTGTGGGTGGGATTTTGTGCCGTGTGCCTGCACGTGGCAGAGGTGTTCCCTCATTCCTCAGGGAGAAGCTGTAAGGAGCAGTGAGGACAGCTCAGTGGTGGGGCAGGCTGGGTGCTGGTGAGAATGTCTCCTGTGTGGGCATTTGGGAAGAGGCTGATTTTTCTCTAAGTGGCATAGTGAGTGCAGGGATAGGAGGGCTTTGCTCTGTTCACTAATGTTCTCTGCAGGACTTAAATTAGAGTGAATATGACAGGAGATCATAGAAATACCTGTCAGAGTTTAGAGAAAATGAGTGCTGCTTGTGGAGTCTTTGCGAGTTTTGAGTGTGATGCTCCCATCCAGAAATAAGCAGGACCCACTCTGCTATGGCAAGAATCTTGTTCAGTCAACACAAACAAGCCCAAATAAATGTTAATTTTGTGAGTGGAAATTTCCTTTGTGGGAGTTTTGAGGCGAAAGAAGTGGTCAGTAATTTTGTATGGAAAAACTACTTTCAGTTTTTGATTCCCAGTAAGTTTCTGCTTTATCTTGAGGCTGATTAATGAGTACCAAATTTGCTTGCCACAGATTTGTACACCACCAGGCACCAGTGTGATTACCACTTTCCTTATGGCCTGGCTTTTTTTAAACTTTAATCAACTGCACTTTGTACGTGGTTTTTAAGGAGTGTTTTATTTATCCAGAGGAACCAATGGTAGTTGCTCACCTTTGCACTGTGTTGTAGTTACAAGTTTGTGGTAATTGGGGGTGGGGCTGTGGCCAATCCTCATCCCTGATGAGCTCCAGCTGAGCAGCATTGGAGGCAATGAGACACGGAGTGCCCAGGTGGAGTGACCAATCACCAAAGGGAGCCGGGGGCACACAGGTGTAAGGGCTGTAAGGAGCAGGGTATAAAAGGTTGTGCAGAAGGAAAGGAAGGGGCAGATGCTTGAAGCCTTCTGAAGTTGTATGGTGTTCTTCTGTGTGTCATAGCAGACTCGACTGACAGATTTGATGACACTTCCGATGCTTGGGATTCGGTGCAGACAGAGCCCCATGTAATGCTGTGAGGAGCAGAGAGACACTGACTGGTACAGGCCTGACCAATATGGGCACCCAGAGTACAGGTGAGCCACTGGGACATTGTGGGGAATATGTTATCAAGTGAAGAACAGTTTGGCTTATCTACCCAGAAAGCTTTGTTGAAGAGTAATGGCGTTGAGACTTCTGGTTGTACCCTTTGTTGTGTTTTGCTATGGGCAAGGTCACCAGATTTTGAGAGTGATGCAAGTACTGCTTTTAGTGTTAGAGCATGGAAAGAGGTTGGGGGAAGATTATGAGATGTGGTACCAAAAGGGGACAACATGGCCGCAGATTTGGCTACCACCTGGACATTGCTCTATGCGGCTTTGAAAGAGTGGAAAACAGAGGAGGACAAGAGAGAGCAGGAGGTGGAAGGAGAATCAGGGCTGGAAGAAGAAGAAGGAAGAAGAACTGAGCAGGTGGGCCAAGAGCCTGAAGGCAAACCAGGCAAACCAAGAGCCTTTGTTACCTTTGCTGTGTGACCATGGGGACACCTCGCAGTGTTGGCCGTGTGGAGGATGGTAATGCAGGTGACTTTGGGCAGCCAGCTTCATCCCAGTGCTGGAACCTGCTGCTTCAGCTGCAGGAATGTCTGCTCATAAAACATCATTGCACATCTGGTACAATTAGATTGCTTTGGGAAATTGTAGCACTCCCTCAGTTTGAGGGGGCAAAGCTGATTATCTTCCTCTCAGTGAGGGCCCTGTGTTGTCAGCTCTCCAACTTGTGTTGTCCCACCTGTGCTGCAGAGCCTTCATCCTGGAGGGCTTCACGTGAGACCTTGACTGAATTCAGCCCAGAGAGGAGATGCCAATTGTTTTCAGCACTTTGGGTTAGTCTGAGACGTGGCACAGAGGTGGAGCACAATCCCAAATCAGTGTCTGAGAGGAGGGAGTGAATCCTGCAGCACTTCAGCCTGCCTGGGGCTGGTGTGAATGACACTCTGAGTGGAAAGCTGCTCACCTCTTGTTAGAAGGGTAAAAACAAACACTTAATTGTCTCTTTTCCCATCATTCCCGGGGCTGGCAGTGGGAGCTGCGCCAGTTGTATATTTTGGGGTGTTTCCCCACTGCTGTAGGACAGACAGAGCAGCTATTTGTCCTGACTTGGAGCTTGAGCCCAATGGGATGAGATAATAATTGACTCTGGAGCAGAGTGTGTGGCTCTGCCACTGAGCCCTGCTGTGTCATCAGCCTGCCAAGAACCCAAAAGCAACAGTGGTTGAACTTGGATGTTTGCTTTAGACTGGTGCAAAGACGAATGGAGGAGTGAGAGAAATCAACTATTTGATGAATTTCCTGCTGTGCCTCTTTGCAACTATGGAGTATATGTGTTCCCTTCCCAAAAGCCAGACCTTTCTTCAGTGTCAGCACTGCTTGGATCCTGCAGTGACATGGGTGATTTGCAGTCAGCCATCTCAGTGCAAAGAAAGCTTTCTCTGTTGCAGTTATTGATTTTTAAGATGTCAAATGGTGTGATATCACTCCACTTTCACTTTGCACAGAGGAGATCTGTTCAGGCAAGTCTGTGAAACAGCTTGGCTTGGGCTGAGATAGAATTGCTCACACACTCTGGGAGAAGAGGTTTTCTAGGGGCTGAAAACCCCCAAATGCTCATCTGTTCTCCAGTGCAGACATTACATGTACAACGAGCAATCTGCAACTTGTGTGTCTGTGATTTTATTTTTAATCCTATTGAATACTTTTTTGTTGGTTTCTAATTATCCCTGGAATCCCTTTCCTCAGCTAATGTGCATAGGGGGAAGAACTTATGTGGTGAGCAGCAGCAGCAAGTGAATGAGGTGGAGAAGTTTTGGTCTCAGAGTGCTTGTTCTCAGGGACAGGTCTCTGTCCCTTGCTGAGGAGATGTGACAGCGTTTTACAAGCTGGGGTCCTGTGTCCTGCTTGCTCCTTTGTGAGACTCTCCTGGGATCTGTGCTCTGAGTCCTGGCTGCCTTATCCATTCACCTCTACATCTCTGCTGGCCTGGCTCCAGAGCACCCGAGCACTGAAAGTCCTGTACCAGGTCTCTCCTCCAATGCTTCCTCAGGCACTTCTTGGTTGCTACAGCCAGCCTCCTGCCTTCAGAAATCAGCATGGAAATGTTTAAACATGTAACAAAACAGGGAGAAGAACTGCTATGTGAAAATAATTGATGGGTTTGTGGTAAAAATTAGGAGAATGAGAAGATCCCTGACACATTTGTCCATTATAATCAGCTAGGTGTGCCAGAGGGAAGCTCCATTTCCTAGAGCTCTATGTGTTGTTGGACACACATGGCAATTGCTCAAGCCAACAGCAATGTACTAAAATATTTTTTTCTGTAGACTCTCTGATTTTTTTAATCAAACCTTTTTTTTCTGATCAACCTGTGACCAGAAGTCTCATTCCCATTTGGCAGTTTCACTGACCTTTTTCACTTTCTGCACGGCGTGGTCTTCTGAGACTCTTGTTACACTAGGGTTTTGTTGCCATCAAATTAATTTCATAGCTGGTTTTAATCTTGGTTGCAGTGGTCAGAAGATAACTTAGAATATCTTTTGCAGGATTTGGAGATGCTGAGAGGCTGATGCGTGTCAATGATGTGATGACACTGCTCACCCACGTTGCCACAGTGACAGGCATGAAAGCTGCTTACACTCCTTCTAAACGAGGAGGAATACTGGCAGGTGGAGGTGCCTTTTTGGGGGGGATGCTGGGCGGCCCACCTGGAATTTTTGTAGGTAAGTGTGCTTTGTTTTGGAACAAGAGGGTGGATAAATCCCTGAGTGAAGAAATGCAGAGGTGTGGGTTGAAGAGAAGGAGCATTCAGTGTTGAGATTTTCTGGTGCGATGGGGGCTGAGGGTGGGTAAGCCTTAGCATGGGGCAGGATCATTTCTCACTACAAATGATGCTTATTTCTGTCTTTTAAAAGTCCCTGATATCCATGTCCTGATGAACTTGGGTTTCTTTCCCGCTGGGATTTGTTATTCCCTGTCACTTTGCTTTTCTACTTGTTGCAGAAAGTTACAGAAAAGCCTAAGTCTAATAGTAAAGAACTGTTTGTCCTCTGTAACTCTGGAATGAAGAGTTGTCTAGTTTGAAAGCTGCCTTGCTGCTGAAGGCATGTGGGCCCTGGCCCATGAATGTTGAGCAGTTGGATGTCCTGTGAGCAGTTGCAGGAATTTCAAGGGCTTACTGATTTGGGAGCGAATTGCAGTGTGCCTCTGTCAGGTTGAGTTACAAAAACAAGCAAATAATTTGTGAGGAGGAATAACAGAAAATGCAAAGTGAAACTGTGTATTTACTCCTGTTACAGGAAGAGAACTTAAGGAATAGCCAGAATGTTGGCAAATAGATGACTGAAGTTATCAGGAACAAAGAAAGGAAATTAAGCTTTTGTAAGAAATTTGTAAGCTGAAAATCTGAAGTGAAGGTAATAATGTAAGTGGCCTCATTCTTGAGTGAGATGAAGAGAAATACTGAAGTTATTAATGGATGTATTTTCCCTTTTAAGTGTTTGTTTAAGCTTTCATAGTGTCTCCCATTCAAGCTTGATGTTCTTCAGCCGTGGTGGAAGGCACTGGAACAAGTATACCTCTTACTTCATAGTGAAAGTTACAGTCATAAGCATATATAATAAGAGTAATAAGTCCTGTCTAAACTAAAAGCCATGACTCAATTACAGTGCAGCTAAATCATAACCCTCTCATGTAACTTTTAAAATCGGAGAGGTAAATAAGCCAAGTAAGTCTAGGACAGTTAGAGAGACATTTACCATCAAGGGCCCCTTCACTTGCTCAAACAGCCTGGATAGGTGTGGGACTGGTGGCAGGGGCTGTCCCTCTTGCTGCTTTGCACCAGGGATGAGGGTGAGTTACCTGCCACGTGCAGCATTGCTGCAGCAGCTTGCAGTCGTCATGCTTCCCAAGGACTGCCTGCTCTGAGCAGAGTGGGCTGTGGGTTTGTTGCCTGGGGGAGAAAGTGTGATCGTGTAGCAAGTCTTGTCTCAATGGACAGGGAGCTTAGACAGCAGTACTTCCAGTGGCTTTTGCATTAAGTGCCCCTAAATCAGTTATTGATGTTCACATAAAAGTCCCTTGAAGATGAATTCGGCCATCGTAGGCTTTCAAGTATTTCTGTGGCATTGTGGGGAAAATTGCTAACTGAGTAAAAGCTGCAAGTTAAGAGTTTTGTCTAATGAAAAACTGCATCCCTGTGAGTGCACAGATGACTTTTTAGGAGCAGTGGCTGGGGTGGCAGTTTTGGTGGCAGGGTCAGTTCTGCCACCTCTCCATTGTGAGGGCTCTCTCTCCCTCTCTCTCCCTCCTTCCTTCGTTCCTTGCTCCGTCCCAGGCCCTGTGTGCTCCGGGCAGTGCTGGCAGCCCTGTGGATTGCTGTGCTGCACTCACACTGCTGCTGGAGGGGAGCCCTGGAGGCTGCTGGGCTGCTTTCTCAGCAGCCACAGGCACATCAGCTGTAGATGATCCATCCCTCTGCTCTTGTCCTGACAGCCTGGGACCTTCCACTTACCCGAGTGTGTCTTGTCCACTGGGGAGGCCGGGGTGTGCACGCGGTAGCTGAAAGCCTGAATGTGTCTGATGGGATTGGTCTGTGCCCACCTGCAGGGGTGGGCTTCAGGTGTGTTGGACAGTGCAATGAGTGACTCCTAAAGGAGCAGAAAGCTTTCACCAGTCTGGGAGTGTCTGGCAAGAGATGATGACACTGCTCAGGCAGTTGTTGCTCTGGTTTTCTCCTTGGGCATGGTTTAATTTAGCGGTAGAGCTTTCCCCAAGAGAGTGTCCCTGGGCGTGTTTTCTTTCTGGTTTCTAGCTTGAAGCCATTAGTGTTGATTGTATAAAGGGTTTCTTTATGGTTGCTGTTGATGTAAAGAGTTTTTAAAATCCTTTCTGATGATTTGATTATTGTGTATAAATCTAAATATAGCAGGCACAGATGACAAGTCTCTGTTGCTTTCTAATCAAGGTGAGAAGATTGTTGGTGAAGGCTGTGGATGGAATTCCAGACTTTAGCATTTATTGGTAAAAACTAATGTTTCTTTGTGTTTCCTAGGAGGAGCAGTTGGTGGATTGATTGGATGGCTCACCTCTGAAGATTTCAAGCCAGTCCCTCAGGTTTTAATGGAATTGTCTGCTGCTGAGAAGCAAAAACTCTGTGCTGAAGCCATGGATGTTGTCAAGAACTTACATTGGACTGATGCTGGTCAGCTGATCAGGCTTGTAATGTCAAATTCTACTATCAGAGGCCAGGTATTCGGTGTGCTGAGGAATTTCGTTACCAAAGTGCTAAAAGCAAATGTAAAGTGTGCCTAATAATTCTTTACCGAGCGGGATTTTTAGGATGGAATGCATTTGACTCCACTCGCTGCGAATCTTCAGTGCAACAATTACTAGTTATCAGTGCTAATTATAAATATATGCTGGTCTAAGTAATTTGGGATATTTGGGGTTTTTAAATTTTTATCATTATTGTTATAATTTTTGTTTTTATGCGGCTTTTTAAGGATAGTATTGGATTACTGCGTTAACCTGATACTGACTTGCTATGAAATATTGGATTACTCTGCATTAGGACTAATTCTAATTGCTGAAGGGAATCATGCTGCTCTTAGGCTACTGTGTCATTGTGAAAATTTTCAAAGTCCTTTTGTTTTATTTAGGAGACTTGATTTTGTTTGTTCAAGTGCTTTAATTTTTTTCCCCGTGAATGACATGTAAGGTAAAATTTGAAGAATTTTACCTGTTGTTTGTTTTAGCCATGCAAAGGAAAGTTTTATAAGGAAGTACATTACTGTGAACTCAAAAGACCCAATCTCTACATTGTCCCTTTTTTACTGTGTCACCCTGATTCTTAAGTTTTTCTAAAGCCTTCTGAGTTTACATTCTGTTGGAAAACTTTCCCACGCCATTTCTGTAAATAACATATTGTTTTGCACTCCTTCATGGGGTTGGAGAAACTTGATGTACTAGTGGTTTGTCCAATGTCTTTGGAGAGGTGGCCCATTCACTCTCCAATCCACTGTCTCCTTTGGAAAAGTATAAAAGTTGGAGTCAGAAAATAAACTTCCTCTTTTACCTTGCAAAATAGCAGGTGGCTCACATTGTGCTTTCTTGTGTCCTATAGCGACATTATTGTACTTCTTGAGTTTTCTTTTCATGTAAGATGTGAAGCAAATACTTCAACAAGATTTCAAGTAGCAGGAAAACAAACTGTGAACACTTCCAGTTCAATTTTCACCAGGTTCCTGTGCCATAGAATGGGAGGGTGTGACATTAAAAAAATGGGGAGCTGAATCTGCATGGGGAGCTGATTCTACCAGTGTTCTATAAGCCCCAGGATTAAGGTTGTCATCTGAAGTTTGATTTCTGGATTGAGTCTGTACAGCTGGTCCTCTGTTCTCATTAAAATGTTCATAAGAAGCCTCACAGTGATCTGTGTGTTCCTTTAAATGGCAGGAACAGTTGAGGAACTCGGGCAGGCAGCAGTGGGCAGCAGCAGTGCTGGTGGGTGGGTGATGTGCCTGCTGCATTATTGCTGTCAGCACCAAATGTTGTGGTGCTCAATGTCCCAAGCAGCTGGTCACAATGGGTTTCAAGGCACTGAAGACAAGTTTGTACGTAGCAAAATATGCAGGTGTGCCTTCTTTATGTTAAGACACAAGTGAAGCTGTTCTGACAAGTTCATTTTTTTGTCTAAAATAAAGATCTAGCTGTGTGTGTGGGATGAGGTTTTTGTAAGTTAAGGTTTAAATGGTATAGCTTTAAACTCTGAAGCTTCTGTTTTATGCATTTGATTAATTTACTTCTGCATGTAGCATTTGCCTATGATAAATTCAGTGGATTGCAGGGCAGTTATCGTTCTCAGCATTTGATAACACTTTTTCATTGATGTAAGAAGGAGGTGAAAAAGAATGGTAAGTGGGCACTCGTAACCTTGTCAGAGTTTCATTATGCCAAACCTGAAATCAATGGGGTTTCTGTATTATTGGCAGATTACACACACTGCAACTTTTAAATGTTTTTACAAGCTATATAAATTTAAAAATACTATTTTATTAGGATTCCAGTTACTTTTGTTTGTTATTTTCTGGGTATTTCACAGATTAAATTCAGTATTTTGAAAATAACACACTGTTAGCAGTGGCAGATGATCAAATGATCCAGTGGGATGGAGTTAACATCCTGTGCTCAGCTGTTCAAACCCAGAATGAACAGATCTGACAAGTGATTGTAAAGCAGGCCATAGGAAAAATGGGCATTCTGGTTCAGCTGTAATAGTATTTAGTATTTAAACAGACCTTTACAAGATTCAATGGTTTCAGACATCAATATCATGACCCCTGATTTACAGGTATTCATATATATGAGCCCAAACATAGGTAGTGGTTTGATTTTTATCACTTGTATCAGTGTAATAGACGTGGATGGAGTTTAGATCATTTTACTCTGGTCCTCTGCTCTCCTGTGAGACTCTAAGAGTATTCTTTGAAATGCTCTTAGAAACTATAAGCCAATTAGAACTACACTTTTAGCCTTTGCTGTGGTATAAAAGGGGCATGTGTTATATGGATGCCAACAGAACTCAGGTCCCAGTAGTTCAGAGTTCTGTACAGACCAGTCCTGGCTTATGTCAAACCCCGCTCCTGCTGAGCTCCTCAGAAGCCTTATGCCACAGAGGAGGACGCTCTTAGTCATTACAATAAATTTAACCTCTAGAGGTTTTCAGATGACTGGAGTAGAACCAGAAGGAAGGGTTTAATTCTGTTTGTTCTCTGTATCTTTATTTAACAGATTTGATGCTCTTGGAGCTCCTTGGAAGGTGGCAGGTTTTCACAGTGGTAGCAGTAGGTTTGCAGACTGGTCTGAAATACATTTCACTGCTGGTAATGGAAGAACAGAAACAAGCTCAAGTGCTCATCTCGTGCGAGTTTGGACTTGAGAGAATGAGGAAATGACCGCTCCTGTTGGACACCCTGATACTTAACTACAGAGGGAGAATGAGCATGGCAGCCACAAAGATTTTGTTGTTTGTGTTTCAGTGGTTTATAACAGTTGATATTGCTGAATGCTGCAGGAAGAGCAAATTGTACTTTTAGTGCTCTGACTGCAGCCCCATTGCTGTCATATTAAGGTCACCATGATATTTTGTCTGTAGCCTTGAGTGGGAATTTGGGCGACTTAAAAGCACCCTTCAGTAGATTTGATCATCTGAGGGAGAAGAGCAGCTGCATGAGAGTGTTTTAATATCCATCTGTTGCTATTCTTTGGTAGAGACAGGGCTGTCCACCCCTACAGCCCTTGCTGGTGTTGGAAACAGCCACAGGTGGAGGATGGCATCTTCTGAAATCCATTCCAGCTGCATAATGTCCAGGCTGAGTGTGAGGCACAGCCATTGCCTGGGAAATGAGGTAACACAGTGCCAGCAGCTTTGGGAAGCAGCTGAAAGATTCACTATGGGGAGATATACATATTTATATAAAGAAACCATCTGTAATGCTGGTTATTAACCTGATTTGGTTCTAGATGTGACAGAATCAAGCTAGGTTTTCACTTGCAGATGGTGTATTTTTTAGTTAATTTTTTTATTTGTGGCTTTTAAAGAATTTTTTCAGAATAAAAAGCAACACAAAGTGTTCTGTTAGCAAGAACAAGGAATACGTATGCTTTTTTAAAAGGCAGTCCTGAATTCAGATACGGACTAGCAAATGAGATGTGCCATCTAGTGGCAATTAGATTAATTCTTAAACGCAGCCTCTCAAGGCTGCCTCAGTATCTGGGTAACACGGTTAGTTAGTTTCCTTTTTCTATGAAAAGTAAGGTTGCATCCTTTTTTTGCTCTTACTCTGTCAAATTTCTAGCTTTAGTGAATTTGTATTAGACTAAAAATATCAGCCCAGCTACAGCCTAGGCTAGAATTTATACACATTCCCTGCAGAAGTTGGCTCTTTGGTGATTATCATATGTGAGCTGTGAAAGCACAAATATTTACTGCAGCTGCAGGTCACATTTAATTATAGTGAGAAAATACAGAATCGGGCAGAGGAGGGCAGTTTACTTCTCAATTTCTGAGGGACAAATGGATTTTGTGAGCTGAGCAGCAGCCTGTTTGCAAAGGCAGATTGTCCACAGTGGAACTGGCAAGGCAGTGAGGAGTTTGTTACCTGGAGGGCTGCATTTCTTTGTGCCCACAAAGGAAGGTGGTTCTTGGCTCGGCCTGTTTGCATCGTCGCCCTGTCTCTCCTTTTGGGCAGTATGAAAAGCATGGGGGATCAGCATTCCGTGGGCAGCTTTTCCAAGGCCAGCCTGTGTCCTTGCACCTGCAGAGCCTTTGCTGGGCAGCAGGCCCAAGGAGCCCGTCCGCAGGGCTGCCCCACGCAGGGGCACACAGGCCTGTCCTCGTCCTTCCTTCCAGCCCAGCGTGGGCCGGGCTCCCCGGGGCTGCTGCCCTGCCCGAGCGGGCTGGAGCGCTGCTTTGTGCCCGAGCGGGCTGGAGCGCTGCTTTGTGCCCGAGCACGCTTGGGGAAGGAGGCTGAGCGTTCTCCCGCAGCAATGGAGGCCTCAGCACCCTCACCCCGCTCCCCGTGCGCTGCTGTGCTGTGAGGGGTGAGGACAGCAGCCGGCTGGAGACAGAGCTGAGCGACAGTAACCGTGGGGTGTGCGGTGTTGTCAGTGTTTGATTGTTTCTCAGCCGGTTCCAGCAGTGTGGGGCTGTGTGCGGTACCTGCTCACACACTGCCGTGCCCTGGCAGAGCTCTTCCCAGAGGTCACAATTTACAGCCCCAGCAGGTGGGGCACAGGTGGGTGGAATGACTGCCATCACCTGCTGCCACTGACACTCACCTCTTCAGGGAGGAAACCTGTGCTTGAGAGGGCTGGGTAGGTCTGAATAGCTGCTCTTTTGAGGCACAGTTCTGTTTAACACACGTGGCATAAAGTTATTGACACCCAGAGTGTGTGTCCACATTTCTTTCAGATGACTCCCCTCTGATGATTGCAACCCAGTGGAGATGAGCATGCTTTTTCTCAATTTGGTTGGTTTGTGGGAAGTCACAGCTACAAAACTCACTGGAAGGTTATTGGAAGGAGATTGTAATATTCAAAGTCATTAAGCAATTTTATTTTACACAGCTATATTCTCATGGCATACCTGCTCAGGTGGTCTGGCCAGGTTTGCTTGTGCACATGGAGGATGAGTCAAATCCTCACTTCATCTCCTGGTTCTTCTTGATTGTCAATGATTAGCTACCTTTTTGGACAAATCTTTTCTTTCCTTTATATCTTTCATATCCCACTGCTGCTGCCTTCCTGCTAGCCTTCCTGTGAGCCCCTTGGCCTGTTGGGCTGACAGGAGGATGGCATATGTGGTTTGCTGAAACTTCTGTGACTGTCCTGCTATCAGTGCAGGGTTTTGTTCAGGAGCTGCCTGTGCTGTGTTCTCACCAGTGCGGGGCCCTGTGGGGCTGGACAGAGGAGTGAATCCTCCCTTTGACGGAATGGCATCCCTCGCTATCCAGAGAGGCCTCTCTGTTAATTGTTCTGCTGCTTTCACATACACACATTTCCAATCACTTATTCCAAAATTAATACTCCTGTTCAAAACTGTGCAGATTCATGTGGAGATGAAATGTTCCCATTTTTTTTCCTTGCAGAGTGGCAGCAGCTCCAGCAGTGCTCCATGGTGACTCAGGGGCAGGCTCAGGGTTTGATCCTGTGTAGCTGCAGTGGCAGGACCTGCTGAGCTCAGTCTTCATCAGCAGTTTGGCAGCACTGGTGCAGCCAGAGGATGTAAAAGCAATGCATTTTTTTCCCCAAGTAAAAGCTCTTACAGGGAAAGCAGTAGCTTAGGCTGTCGCTGCTTGATCAGCTGATGTATAACTCCAGACTAATTGAGTAGCAGCCTTTCAGCTGGGTTAGAAAGCTTTTAAAAAACCAAAGCCCTTTGCATTGAAGTGAACTAAAGCTATTAGCCCCTAATTAAAACATGAGGTTTCATCTTTACCTTTCTAGAGATCACAGAAATCTATGTATTTTTCAGGCTGTAAGCCAGAAATCAAACATTCATCATGTAATTGCAGTAAGCGTGGGCTAATACTTCTCATTAAGTGTGATTTATGAATTCCAGAAGAGCCTACAAGGTAAATATATAAAATTATTCTGAAGTCTGCAAAAATGAAGGTATTCATTTCTTTGGATGACTGTTCAGCAGGAAGAATTTAACATGAACATTACAGCTTTCAACGCTCAGTACAGACACTGCATCTGGACACCTGTACCTCTGCAGTTCCCTCTGAGCCACTGCTCATCTTTCACCCCAGCTCAGCCTTCAGCTGTCAGCAGGGAAAGCAGCCTGGCTTTGAGGCAAGCCCATTCTGCTGGGCCTCAGAGGATCTGTCACCTTCTCTGGCTCTTCTGCTCATTTG